TTTACATGTCTGTTTAGTTTTAAAGTAAATCTAAACTTTTTATACTTTAAGGAGAAATACACTCTACAATATTTTGCGGTAACTTAGGACGATAAAATTAGCGACGGATTTATGGTATTTTCTTACTAAACTGTTTAATGTTTATTCAGAGCTGGGATGTTTTGTCCCAATATTGTTATTCCAGGAATATCAAGAAGGGTTAGAATATGATATGACTAAGAAAACGAGAAACCCTAAAATACGACCTTTCACTTGCCAGCTGTTTACTGAGCATCAAATAATTTGATCCCTGTGAGATTTGAACTTGCTAGATTTTAAAGTGAGGTACAGAATCCAAAATGTGAAGCTCAGCTTCGCTTTTAATAACTGGCAGAGAATGCCTAATGGCATTTAGTTCGCCTTATGTACCAACCTACCAACTTTGTGGCACTGCACTGTCGCTAACTGTCGGAAGTAGGTAATGGATTTCAATTTTTTGATTGCAACTATTTTTGATGCGACAGGTACGAGTAGCTTAACTTTGTACTGTCATCTGTACAACAATGCTTAATAATAAATCAATATCAACGGATATGCCATCTGTAATAAGTCTACAGATTCCAAAAAATGGACTGTCACAATCTATTTCCGCTCTTTATGCGCAGGGTCACACCCACGTCACCTGGAGTACCTGGGACCTATCAAATCTACGTAACCTACGTCATACCTTTTTTCAGCAAGGTGAGCATAGATTAATATGTTAGGTACCTACTAGGTGAGAGTTTTCAATTCTCGATACATCTAAAGTTCCACATTATTTTATTAATGTCAAATGAAGCAGCCTGCTGCTGCCTTTCCCGAACACTATAATCCAGACCTTTTCAAGGTGAAAGTGAATAGGCACTTACCGGACAAAGTACTATCCTAGACTGCATCTCATTTAACACCAGGTGTTGTTATGCATAAAAAAACCTTAAGGGGTTTTCTAAACGATTCCGTTTTGTTAGTGTGACGCAACGAGATGTGATATCTAAACATATAATGGTCTATACTTGCAGATAAATATTGATTTTCACATCATAAAAACTTCTGTGTTCAGTATATGAGACGCACGCAATGGACATAATAGCAGTTTGTATGTGAGCGCGCCAACACGTATGCGGCGCGCACGCACGAACACACTGACAAAATTTAGCGGGGATTAGCGGGGAGCCAGTCGTGGCGTCGTGGTTGCGTCGAATTTTGTCAGTGTGTGCGTGCGCGCCGCATACGTACATATATTGGCGCGCTCACATACAAACCGCGCTCGGCGCGTTTCTATGAAGATGACCTACTCATTTGTATTTACTCTGATAATAGCACAATGAATTATCTGGTAATGTGCAACAACACATACACACAGCATGGATTCAATTGATAACAACACCTAACACCTATAGGCTACACGGAAAAAAATACCTCGTGGTGATTGAATTGTGAATTCTGGTAAACCCAACAAAAAATCTCTTGCTATCGTGAAAACGAGAATTGCATTGTAAAAAATACTTGATTTTCGTTTTTCTGAATTGACAAATTGTGATGATTACAAGAATGTTTAATACACACAACTGGCACATTTTTGTAAATTACGTAACTCGTAACTCAAAATATCTTTCAGTGTACAACTAAATTGATGGTATTTAGCTGGAAGTGTGTGGTGTATACACTCAAGCCTCCAATTTTCTTACCGAGTTGGAACCGCAAAAACTAAGTTCTACACTTCCTACCTCAAGTACTTCGTCTGGAGAGAATTCAAGATCTCGGGGCTGGGAGTCCAATTACCTAACCACTCGACACAGACATCCCAAGTACATAATAAATAAAGCCGAAAAGTACCGTCTGTTTCTTAAAAAATGCCGTAAGTACAAGTACTAGAAACGTTGTAAGTACTTAGCCGAATCCTGCGAGTGTAATAGCCATGTCAAGGGGAGGAATTTAAAAGGAAATGTCTAATTAGAGAAGCTCATTATCGTATCTCATGATCGCCCGGACCATTTGCCCAACGGTTCGTGTACTGTTCCAGTACATTACATTATCCGACTTCGGGGTCGTTGGATTCTCGTGCTTTTGTGTTGATTAGTTTTTTAATAAGCACAGAAAGGTTTTTAGGATTAGGGCTTGTTCTTACGGAGACATCCCGTTTGTGTTTCGAAAAAACTGATCCATACGAATTTGTAATTGGAATTTAATAAAGATACTACATTGCTGGACTTTAGGTACTGGTTAAAGTTTAATTAAAATCTAATATTCCTAATCAATCCTTCTAGATAAGTTGAAGGTAACAGGAATCATTATTGAAAATTGCGATTTCTTGAATTGACATGAATGATTTCGATAATGATTTATCATTCTGACTGTTCATTTAAGTGATCAAAATATCATATCATCAAAACTATTGAAAGCGAGTGCATACCCCTTTTTCATCCGACTATGTATTCCAATTCTTAAGTGATTGTAAGAAACTAAAGTTTGTTGGTAGGTATAAAACATAAACTGACGTTGATGTACAAAGATTGATGAACCTTGAAACGTAAGTCAAGAAAGATACCAATCATAATAAAAACAGTATGAACATAGCACTCACCTAACCTCTGGCTACACCGAATTTCCATATCGTAGGCGTGTGCCGACAAAGAGATATTTCCTGCATAATATATGAAACCACAATAGAATTTGAAACAGAAGAACCGCTTGTGTTTGACTATAAAGCTTCAGTCAAACCAACGCGTGCAGCTCGCTTCAGCGATTGCGATGGCGATCACTACGCGTGCATAGATGCGTTGCGACCAATAGATAGCAGGACGCGTTGATGTGAACTCATCGCTACAAATTCATACACGACATCTGATCGCCATCACTATCACGCACGTAGACTTCACGCGGCCGAACCTTAACTGAACTTTTGGGACAAACAATTTAAAAATATATGTCGTTGGAAAGATAAATGTCGTTAAAAATACAGCAGTAGTTATAATACATTTTTTGGAATAAAAGTTTATGAACGTAAATTTAGAAATATGTTTTTACAAAACAACACTTAAAAAGCAGAAAAAAAGACGCAGTCAGTATCATTTTGGAAATTACCTCAGTGTGAAAGAAGAGGGAGTTAGATTAAAAACACGACACCATTCTTGCAACAGCTAGTTCATAAAATAAGCTTACTGCTCCATTTGCCTACTAGCTACCTTTAACACCCAAAAGACTCGGTTTTCAAAGTAATTGAAAACGGCTTGATGTTCAGAAATTTCTTGAATTATATATGGCTACCAATTTTCTTCCCTTCAAGTGTTTTGGGGAAAACATTTTGTGAGAGATAAATTATCTAGAACACCTTTATGGCTGAGTTGCACCATTTTACTTCAACTTTGACAAACGTCAAAAATCGGTCAAGCTTCATACAAAAAGCACCGGTTATTGTTATAGTTACGGTCAAAGTTAGGTAGTGCAACTCACCTAAGCCTTTAGATCCTACTAAAGATCTCAAGCCTTAGGTAGTGCCCTGAAAAGTATTTAAGTAACGAAAAAAACGAAACGTCCGCTGAAAAACCGATAGAATTGACGTAAAGACCGTGATTTAACATTCAAAGTAAAGAAAGGCTTATCAAACTGTATTTTATTAGGATTTAAAGGATCAATTAAATTAAGAAAATCTCGCACAAGACCTGTTTTATTAAGGTTAGGTTTTGCTTTGCTTTAAGACGATATTCTATAGTCAGTAATGTGTGAAATTTGATCCACTATAGGCCTCTTAAAAAGCTTTCTGCACAGCGTGCTATGGAAAGGGCTATGCTCGGTGTTTCTTTACAAGATCGAGACAGAATAACTTTGGTCGTTTGTCAAAAAATATTTCTTATCGCAATACCTGAAAACACGCTATTTATCGATATCTGAAAACAATCAAATAACTATTACTTTCGTTGAAATTGTTTAAGCCACGATAAACTGAGGTTTTTTATAGCAATCATATTTCTCATTTACGGCGACAGTTAACGTCTGTCAAACAAGACTGTGTGCGTTCATTCCAGCATCAATTCTCGCGAAGGGATTTTTTTCACAAAAAAATCTTTCCTTTTCATATTTACGACTCGAAGTTTACGAGGAGGCCTATTCTTTTCGTCCTGCTTATGTGGGGATTGGTGTAAAGGATAGGAGTTTATCTTTTTGAAATATTATATAGTGGTCATTGATAATTTTGGCTTCTAGTTTTTCCACAACGAAGTTATAGGTAGCTGATGGAAAATAGTGACTCTAATCCCTCAGTCTATAAATAAATGGATCTTATAGTCGGTCGTTTGGTGTAGTGGTTCGAAACGGACTACTATTCCGGAGGTAGCGGGTTCGATTCCCGCACAGTACCAACATTTGTGTGCATGAACATATTTGTTTGTATTGGACTGGGTGTTTTCTATGTATAATAATTATGTATTTACAAAAAAAAAGTATTTAAGTATGTTTATATCCGTTGTCTAGTACCCATAGTACAAGCTTTGCTTAGTTTGGGACTAGAATCGCAGTGTAAAATGTCTAAGGATATTTATTTATTATTATTATTTATTATTATCCGTAAGTGTTACGAGTACTCATACGAATGTCTTTACCAGCCACCAGCTATTGAGTATCCATAAGATACTTAGCTGATGAAATGTTTCGAACATTTGCTCAAAATTACTAAAAGTAAATGTAAGCCCATTGGAGATGTTGACAATCTGTTCTGTAAAATCTGACGCCAATCAAGTCTAACCCATCCCTAAAAAAAACTAGCCAACTATTACTACTGAGGTGCACTTCAAGCCTTAAATCGATCATGAATTTATGCAACGCTCCATGTTGCTTTAAGCCCCTCGGAACACCTTTGAGCACGTTGAGCGCTTACTTCACCTTCATGTGTTTTAGCACTTTCACAGGTTAGACGCTTAGTGGTGAAAGTTTGGAATAAAACTAAACTGTGCACTTTGTACCTNCCATAATATCTGATTATGTTTCTGTCATGTATTAATCTGTGGAACTTTTTACTTTTAAATGTCAATGCCAATTCACATGTTTGTTTTGAGGTTAGGCCACTTGATTTCCGGCTACCTAGCCAAATATACAGCTCTCACAATAGTCACCGTGTTATCATTATTTTCGGACATAATGGTGGCGACGTATGGTTAAAACAGTGAACAATGGATACAAAAGCAGTGAAATTCGATGTGTTCAACGCTCAGACTGACAATTGGGACATTTACTTAGATCGGTTAAAGTTTTGTTTCGAGGCTAATGGCGTCATATTGGACGCGGCAAAAAGGGCTAATTTTGTGACAGTGTGTGGTGCGCGTGTGTATGAGACATTACTTGCGTTAATAACACCGAGGAAAGTTTCTGATTTGCCTTTCAGTGAGATAGTGACTGTTCTTACAAGACATTATAGTCCAAAACCGAATGAGATTTCGGTGTCGTTTAAATTCTACAAACGTGATCAAGGACGTGGTGAATTAGCGTCAGACTATATCGCACAATTAAGAAAATTAAGTTCGGGGTGCAATTTTAATGACTTAGAACGAATGTTACGCGACAGACTTGTGTGCGGTATGAGTGATAGCAAATTACAGTACGAACTGTTAAAACGTGACAATTTGAGTTATCAAGACGTAGTGGACGCCATGTTATCATCGGAAAGTGCCGGACGGGACGTGCGCATGATTCAAGACGCTGCGAATGCGGCGTCGATGCCCACCACAACAGCGGCGCCCTACTTTGAGCAGCCCGTAGCGGAGCCGATGGACGTAAACGCGGTTCAAACGAAAACAACTCGTCTATGCTATCGTTGCGGTGATCGTCACCCTGGAGAGTGCCGTTTTATCAATGCAATTTGCCGGTTTTGCAAGAAAAAAGGACATCTAGAAAAAATCTGTTTAAGCAAGAAGAAGAACAGTCGCGATGTAAACTTCACTAGTGAACCGAGTGATCGTTTGAACGGCATCTACTGTGTGCAAAGTACTAGTCGCACACCGCCATACGAGGTTGACGTATTACTGGCGGGTGTCCCAGTCCGCATGCAGGTGGACACGGGCGCCAGTTTCTCCATCATCAACGAGTACACCTGGAACGTGTTGCGCTCACGACTTGCGCGCGACGCACTACGCCCCGCATCACTCACTTTACGCACTTGGACGGAGACACCGGTTCAATTGCTGGGACAAGTCACTTTGTCAGTTTGCTATAAAAACAAGGAGCAGAATCTATGTATTATAGTAGCTAAAGGAAAAGGACCTAACCTTCTGGGTCGTGACTGGTTGACGCCGCTTCACATATCATTAAATATCAACTTTGTTTGCGACAACAAATTGATAGACAAGATTATATCAAAACACCAAGAAGTTTTTCAAGATGGATTAGGTACATATCGTGGTAATCCAGTCAAGATACATCTGAAACAAGGTATGACACCTAAATTTCTGAAAGCTCGGCCGGTACCTTTTGCAATAAAAGACAGAGTAGAACGTGAAATAGACAGACTGGTCAAAGAAGGAGTATTAAGACCAACATCTTTCTCCGACTGGGCTACACCAGTAGTGCCAATAGTTAAGAAAACAGGAGAGATTAGATTATGTGGAGACTATCGCAGTACTGTAAACGCAGCTACCGAATCAGACACTTTCCCCATGCCCACATCTAATGAGGTATTTGCAACCATAGCCGGAGGGAAATGTTTTACAACTCTAGATTTAGACAGAGCGTACACACAGGTGGTAGTGGATGAAGAAACGTCAAAACTTCTCACACTCAATACGTGCAAAGGACTTTACACAGTACATCGCTTAGCTTTTGGAGTTAAAGCATGTCCGGGAATTTTCCAACGCCTTATGACATCCTTGTTGGCAGGCATCCCTGGAGTTGCAGTCCTGATTGATGACATAATTGTCTCTGGTTGCTCAAGTATGGAAATGGAGGCCAGACTGGACACAGTTTTAGACCGAATTAAACGTGCAGGACTACGACTTAACAAGACCAAATGCAAATTTGCCAGAGACAGTGTAGAGTTTCTAGGCTTTAGAATAGACTCAGAAGGCATTCACCCTGCACTAAATAAGGTGGACTCCATAATTAACACACCGGAGCCTAAAAATAAGCATGAGCTTCAAGCATTTCTCGGACTATACAGGGTGACTTTTGTATCAGTATCCAAATTTTATTCAGACATTAGGTATCGTTTATAGATGTCATTTTTAATAAAAAATGGGTAGGTCAAGTTTTAACAAAATCAATTTTTTCCCTAACCAAATAATAACGTAGTGTGGTCACCGCGCTTAGCGCGTAAACATTTTGCGGGTCGGGCGGAGAGCTGGCAACAACGCTCGACCGGCCGGCCTGGCCGCGGCCGCGCGGTGCATCAATCAGTCGCCCGCGCAACCCATTACGTGACGAGCGTACCGCTGCGCGCGCCANTTTTATTATTTCATAAAATCCGTCTTCAGGTCGCCACAGAACAAGGCCTCGCGAAATCTGTCTTGCCCACATCAAATTTAGGTCTTGCCCCGCCTCTGTTCCCACGCGATATGAGCATATCGGCGACGGCGCGTAGCAGCGTGGCCACGGGCGCGCCCAGCGCCGCCGCGGACTGTAGGCCCCATCCGGCTCGCGAAATGCCTTTATTAGTCAATAGTTGCCGATTTGACCAAGAGATGGCGCTGTTCCGCCGCTTTAATCCTGTGTAAGCTCCAAAAATAAACTATTGTACCTGCGACAGCGAGTACAGATACTGCGCGGGCGCCACTTTCCCGCGCGACATGAGCATATCAGCGGCGGCGCGTAACATCGTGGCGACGGGCGCGCCCAGCGCCCGCGGACTGTAGGCGCTCGCAAAACGCCATTGTTAGTTAATAGTTGTCGAATTGACCAAGAGATGACGCTGTTTAGTCCTTGCGAGTTTTAATCCTGTGTAATCTACAAAATAAGCTATTGTACCTGCGAGAGCGAGTAGAGATACTGCGCAGGCGCCACTTTCCCGCATCAGCGGCAGCGCGTAACAGCGTGGCCACGGGCGCGCCCAACGCCGCCGCTGACTGTAGGCCCCGCCCCCCGGCTCGTGAAACACCTTTACTAGTATTAAGTGTCGATTTGACCAAGAGATGGCGCTGTCCCGTTCAACTTCGCGGTATCACTAGATTTGTTCTGTACCAATATAACCTATTGTACCTGCGAGAGAGAGTAGAGATACTGCGCAGGCGCCACTTTCCCGCGTGACATGAGCATATCGGCGGCGCACTATGGATCGAAATTGCGATTTATGGACATAGCGATTTTTTTCACAATTTCTATTTGAAAAAATTACCTATCGATAGGTTACGTTATTCTGATGAATAAATGCTGCACAAGTTTTTCTCTAAAACCAATAGTTTGGCTGGAAAAAAATATTTTCTATTTTCGTTGTATGGAATGAAACATAAAGTGGTCGATTTCGACTAAGCCTTGACAGATCTTGCTTTGAAACTACTTGAGCCTTGTTTTATGGCTTGTTGACTATAATCCTATGCAATCGGCGCGCGCCCAAAGTTGCCCGTTCACAAGTTATGAGGTTCTGAAAATTTTTAAAAAAGTAAGTAAAAGTGACTTTTTTTTGGAATATCTTTAAAGATTTAACGAAAATATAAAGATTCTATACGTTAATAATGTGAATTAACCTTGAATTATTGCTAAAAACACATTTTAATAAAATTAAAAGGAATAAAATCAGCGATATTTTTTTCACAATTTCTGTTTGAAAAAAATACCTATCGATAGGGTATGTTATTCTGATGAATAAATATTATGAGACGTTTTTCTCTAAAACCAATAGTTTGGCTGGAAAAAAATATTTTCCATTTTCGTTGTATGGAATGAAACAAAGTGGTCGATTTCGACTAAGCCTTGACAGATTTTACTTTGAATCTACTTGAGCCTTGATCTATGGCTTGTTGATTATAATCCTACACTAACAGCGCGCGCACAAAGTTGCCCGTTCAGAAGTTATGAGGTTCCGAAAAATTAAAATTAAAGTAAATAAAATTAACTTTTCTTTAGATAAGACGACAAGAGAAAGGTTGCAACGGGGCGTCTTAGCTAGCTCAGTCTGACACCCCGCTGTTTAGTACTAAGTCCCAGTTCGCCTTCTGCGATGAGGGATGTGTACCTATCCAGGATGCCTACAGGGATATTGACCAAGGAAACGCACAATCAATAACACAATGACACTTTGTATTTCTAGTTCCACAATGGTTCCTTATTCTAACTTCACTGACTCTAAGTTTATTATTATTACGAGCAGTTACTTTACAGGTTATTTTACAATTACTAATTAATGGCAATGAAAAGNACGTAGGAAATCAACCAATTTGCTACTAAAGCAACCAGTATAAGGTCCTTAATCAAAAAATATATACAGTTCCTTGGCACCAAAACCACTGTTGACCAGTGTAATTTAACTATCGAACTGATATCTGCTGGTGCCAGATTGGATGAGATGGATAAAATATCTCACATTTTATTGACACTACCCAAGTACCCACTTGCTATGATGGTGTTCTAACTGCGTTAGAAACACTGGGTGAAGAACACCTCAATCTTGTATTTGTGAAGACACGCCTATTAGACCACGAAGTGAAACTGAAGGCTGAAATTACGACCGAGCTTAAGGCCCTAAATACAGCAACCTAACATGATGGTGTTCATAATACTCTTAAAATCAAACCTATATGCAGAAGAAAAATAATAATTATCGACCCGGAAATTACAAGGGATGGGAATGAGAATGGGTTTCTTTTTTAGGGAGGGAAGCAACCGGTCTTTTCACCGTGCTAGAAATATAATTATTATTGTGCTCTTGTACCAAAACCGTCCAAAAAATCCCTTGTTCTTCGTACATAACTGAGTTACATAACTAGCCATGTACAAAGAAAAAATATTTATTCGAGCAAAACCGGGTAATGTACCAAGAACCCTACCTTCTTAACACATTACCAGATACAACCCGGTTATGTAAGAAGAAATTGCTGTTCCTACTACAAAACCTAGAAGTTCTCCGAGTAAGCAATAAATATAATCCTGCTGAGCGACTGCTACAATTCAGGAGCATTCACAACTCTTTCACCTAAAATTTTAGACTTTGAACGTACATTGACTAAGAGCTCTTGTGGAATAATAAACTATTTAATACCTACTTATAATTCGTGTCAAGTATTAGAAAAAAAAACTTTCAAAGTGTCATTGGGACTTAGGTGTTCTATCAAATGAATTAGGTACAGCTTGATTATAAAAAAAACCAGCAAAATTTCTGATATCTGCGTTGGAAACAACTACTGCGGTTTAATGCGGACGCCAGAAGTCGATGGCATTTGCGTATTTCCCGGGTGTCCCCGAAAAGACTGGAGAAGTGTCCAATATTGTAAAGATAAACTTCCTTTGCAAGTTAAATTTTTTAATATCTCGTGAGACGCGATTCTGCAACTATCATTGCAGAGCTGGAGAGCATGAGTGGACCTATCCTTGCTAAAAATATCCTTGTATTTAGTTATCAACGTCAATATATCACCCTCTACTTTTTGCACCATCCCTTTAATGTTTTTTAAGTCACAATTTTTCACAAAAAGTAGAACGTGAAATAGACAGACTGGTCAAAGAAGGAGTATTAAGACCAATATCTTTCTCCGACTGGGCTACATCAGTAGTGCCAATAGTTAAGAAAACAGGAGAGATTAGATTATGTGGAGACTATCGCAGTACTGTAAACGAAGCTACCGAATCAGAAACTTTCCCCATGCCCACATCTAATGAGGTATTTGCAACCATAGCCGGAGGGAAATGTTTTACAACTTTAGATTTAGACAGAGCGTACACACAGGTGGTAGTGGATGAAGAAACGTCAAAACTTCTCATACTCAATACGTGCAAAGGACTTTACACAGTACATCGCTTAGCTTTTGGAGTTAAAGCATGTCCGGGAATTTTCCAACGCCTTATGACATCCTTGTTGGCAGGCATCCCTGGAGTGGCAGTCCTGATTGATGACATAATTGTCTCCGGTTGCTCAAGTATGGAAATGGAGGCCAGACTGGACACAGTTTTAGACCGAATGAAACGTGCAGGACTACGACTTAACAAGACCAAATGTAAATTTGCCAGAGACAGTGTAGAGTTTCTAGGCTTTAGAATAGACTCAGAAGGCATTCATCCGGCACCAAGTAAGGTGGATTCCATAATTAACACACCGGAGTCTAAAAATAAGCAAGAGCTTCAAGCATTTCTTGGACTATATAACTTTTATGAAAGGTTTATTCCACACAAGGCCACAGTTCTTGAACCATTACATCGGTTATTAGACAAATGGAAATGGACTGAATTGGAACAAAATGCCTTTGATACAGCAAAGCACTTACTGACTTTTGATCTGACACTTAGCCATTACGATGTGAACTAACCGCTGATCCTTACCTGTAACAGTTCTGAGTACGGTGTGGGAGNTCGGACTATATAACTTTTATGAAAGGTTCATTCCACACAAGGCCACAGTTCTTGAACCATTACATCGGTTATTAGACAAAGCACGTACCTGGAAATGGACTGAATTGGAACAAAATGCCTTTGACACAGCAAAGCACTTACTGACTTTTGATCTGACACTTAGCCATTACGATGTGAACAAACCGCTGATCCTTACCTGTGACAGTTCAGAGTACGGTGTGGGAGCGGTACTGTCTCATGAAGACGAGAACCATAATGAGTGTCCAGTAGCCATGGCTTCAAGAACTCTGCATTCTCACGAACGACGCTACTCACAACTTGATAAAGAAGCAGCGGCAATTATGTTTGGAATAACAAAGTTCCATAATTACTTGATGGGACGACATTTTCGGATTGTGACTGATCACAAGCCGTTATTGGGAATATTCAACCCCAAGAAACCAATGACTAGTATGCTTTCACCCCGTTTGACAAGAATTGCCATAGCCTTGACTTCACATAGCTATGAAATAACATACAGACCTGGGCCGCAGATCGGAAGTGCTGACAGTTTGAGTAGATGGCCTCAACCGGTACCAGATCAACTTGAAGAACCACTCTACGAAATTTTACTGATGGCTGAAAAACCTGAGGATTTCCCTTATGATGTGTCACACATAGCTTCCGAGACGAAAGGCGACCGCATCCTATCTAGAGTCATGCATTACATCCAATGCGGTTGGCCAGCTAAAATAACCGATCCTGAGTTAAGGCCTTTCTGGTTACAACGTGCAGAACTTTCAATACAAAATGATTGCATACTACTGGGCTGCAGAGTTGTAGTGCCGAGGTCCCTTCGTCCAACAATCCTACGTGTTTTACATAAAACACATACTGGAATTGTTCAAACCAAGACTTTGGCTAGAAGCTACGTTTGGTGGCCACGCCTTAACGAAGACATCGAAGTGCTAGTGAGCGGATGCTCAAAATGCCTGGAACACAGACATATGCCACCTAAGACCAGCCATGAATGGATTACACCAACCAGACCGTGGTCGAGAATCCACGTTGATTTTGCAGGCCCATTTTACAATAAAAACTTTTTGATAATGGTTGATTCATACTCTCGTTGGCCCGAAGTGTTTGTAGTAAATAACATAACCTCCGCTACAGTGATAAAATTTTTAAGAAACACTTTTGCCATACACGGATTGTGCGACGTACTAGTGTCGGATAATGGTACATCTTTTGTATCAGATGAATTGAAGAGATTCCTACAAGCTAATAACATCCGGCATGTCACCACGGCTCCCTATCACCCGGCCACAAACGGGATAGCGGAGAGGATGGTACAGACAGTGAAAGACAAACTAAGAAAGATGGATGATTCATCATGGGACATCAAAATACCAAACTTGTTGCTAGGCCTGCGGGTTACTCCATGTACTACAACACACAAAAGTCCTGCAGAACTGCTAATGGGAAGACGTTTACGAACGTTACTGGATACTGTACATCCTGAGAATATTCAACATAAGAGAATTGAGCAACAAATTGAAGAAAACAATCAAAGACAAGGAAGAGAATCGAATGTTGGACAATCAGTGATGTACAGAAACTACAGCAACCATGGCCCTAGATGGTTACGGGGCACAGTTACTTATAAGAACGGACCCTCCAGCTACCAAATAGAGACGAATGGTGGCGGAGTAGTAAATCGTCATANTTTAATAGTTGATCAAATAATCAAAACAACAGCAGCAGAGGAGATAACTACCAGAGTAACAAATGATACAGATGCAGTCGTAGAAGGAACGCCGGAATTGATTACTGACGATATCATAGAGATACCAGATGCAGACAAGTGGGCTGACATCTTGGGCATTCCAAGCCAAGCTACTACAACACCGGCTCTGGGAAAGATAAAAAATAAACCAAATTTGCATTCTAGAAGCCCCTATGACAGACCTGATGCCTCCGCATCAGCAGATGATAACCTTTACATAAATTTCCTAACTTAATTACTGTTATTTAAATACATAGTGTTTCATGGGGATAATTTATTAGTTTGGTAATGTTGATATTCACTTAGGGGGGAGATATGTCATGTATTAATCTGTGGAACTTTTTACTTTTAAATGTCAATGTCAATTCACATGTTTGTTTTGAGGTTAGGCCACTTGATTTCCGGCTACCTAGCCAAATATACAGCTCTCACAATAGTCACCGTGTTATCATTATTTTCGGACATAATAGTACCTGAATGAACTCTACGTCACTTAGCAAGATTTAGGTCGATTAGTTCACCACCGTTGGACACAGACGTTTTCAATGAGTGAGTAGGATTTTCAGGTACACTTTTAAGGTCAATTGCGACCAAGTTTGTGAATGTTGATGCTCTATTTTGTAAAAGCAGTTCAAGTTGCTTTTGCCGACATCGGCCATAAGATCCACGTTCCAAGTTATTTACAGTTGATTCAAATGACTCGATATTTATAGTTGCGTTTCAGCAGTAATTCAAATTAAATTGTTCAAAGTTTATTAGCAATATGAAACTTTAAGTTACTACTAAAGTTTATCTAGCAGTCCAAGTAAGTTAAACTGAGTTGCACCAACTTACTTAAACCGTAACTATAACAATAACTAGTGTTTTTAGTATAGAGTATGACAGATATTTTTGACGTTTGTTAAAGTTAAAGCAAGCAAGATGGTGCAACCAAGTCAATTATTTGGTCTACTATTTCTAGGGTTGATGCTGTTGTTAATTGCTCTATATGAGGAAAAATCTAGAATCATTTGCCCATTGCTTTCAAATCCGCTGTCATCTTTCGCCTCGGCCAGCGTGTTACGTCACGTAAGTCATAAGGATCGGAGGCCGCATAAAATGTGCATTAGTCTGAACAAATAAACGCTCTTATCCCCACTTTCCGAGTGGGATTTCTGGGAACCCCGCAATTCGCTATAAACCAAATGTGTGTTCTTTTAAAGTCGCATTCAATTTGAACCTTTGTTCTACGGATGAATATGGGCGTGGAGTTAAAGAAGATTATTGAATGTTATCTAAATAAAAAAGTGAGAAACTCTTTTAAAAGAGACTTAGGCCCAGAACAGACGGTGAAACGTAACTGCAACGAAACTGCAACTTTCTGATGATTCTGATGAATGAAACTGAAACTGAAAGTTTCAAACAGGTCGCGTCATGTGTGGTCTCTCAACGGACGCTATGGCAGAAACTTAGATGCAACTCAAAAGTAACTAGCAGTTGCAGTTTCGTTGCAGTTGCGTTTCACCGTCTGTTCTGGGCCTTAGAAGTGTCTAAGGCTGAGTTGAACCACCTTTTAACCGTAACTATAACGATAAATGAACTTTGACAGATTTTGACGTTTGTTAAAGTTAAAGTATGATAGTGCAACTCAGCCTTAGTACCTAGCTTAGATGTAAGAGCAGTTGTCCGGCTAACGAAAGGAATTGGATTCGATTCCCACCTTTGAAAGTTCGATTTTTCAAATTATTTTAATTTAGTCTTTAAACTTTGACGCTTTCTTCAAGCACCGATTATAGAGAGTTGGGATCGTTTGATATGGTATTACCAGGTTCAATTCCCAGGTGGGACATGCTAACTGAAATTGCATAGCACTTGTTTCAAGCTATGTTAGATAGAAACATTATTCCTACATTATCAACGAGTGAGCCAGACTGAAATTATTTCACTGTAAGAATTTAATAACAGCAGCTAGTAAACAACAATATTATTTACAAATTAATAAACAACAAAATTTCTTCTATTTTAGCTACTTAGTTGTCTTTACGACCATTATGTTAAANTCTGACGTCGACTGCAGTTACATGCGTCGACAGCAAAATGCTGTTCGTGTGTAAGAACCCTAATCAACCTTCTACTTCCCAACAAAGCTCAAACTCGAGTTCGACTTCAATATTCTGCAAATATTGTAAGACCAAAGGTCACGATATTACACAATGTCGGAAACGACAATTCAACGAAAACAAAAATCAAGGTAATTTTAATAAACCGGTTCATATTGCCTATGATGAGCCGCCTTCGTCAGTGTCGTCACCGACGCCACTGGATCAAATTCCATGCGAATACGACGGCGATTCTGACGGTGATTTAAACTAAGTGATCGGATTACGAATTCGTGCCACCGTATTCCGATATCTAAGCATTCCGGCACTAAACAATCATTAATTGTTACACAAAATTGCGCTTCTACGAGTCTTATTTGAGAAATAGATATCAATATATTGAGATAAAGGGTGCGGTGGATGGATGCGAGAAGATATTTAAGTCGTCATTTTTTCAAATAAAAAGAGGCGTTCCTCAGGGATCAATTCTGGGACCGATTTTATTTATAATTTTTATGAATGATTTGATACCGTTTATGTACGACTTAATACCAGATATTGAACTTGTAGTATTTGCTGACGACACTAATGCAGTTCTAAATGCGAAAAACATGAGCGAACTTAATACTAAAGTAAACAATGCGTTGGCTCTGTTTGACAAGTGGTTTGAAGTAAACAATCTGAAACTTAACGTGGGGAAGACCAAAGCTGTTCTCTTTAAATCCACATCAAGGACAAGAGATACATTAGAAGTCAAGATGAAGGACGACTGCATCTCTGGAGTAGACACTGTTAAGTTTCTTGGTATTCACATAGACTCTTCTCTCAACTGGAAGGTAGAGGTGAATTGCTTGGAAAGCAAAATCTCCTCTTCATGCTATGCTCTGCGCAGTTTAAGAGAGGAGTTAACTTTAAGCCAATTAAAAATAGTATATTACGCGCTAATCGAATCACGCTTGAGATATAGTATTAAGTTTTGGGGAAATAGCTATAGATACAATATAAAAAAAGCTTTCATTATTCAAAAAAGGGCAATTAGAACAATGGTGCGCATAAGTCAGCAGCAGTCGTGTCGAGAATATTTCAAAAATCTTAACATTTTAACAGTGCCATGTCTGTATATACTAGTCCTTCTTACTGACCTTGTCAAGCATCCAGACAGATATGAATCCGTGGAGGAGAGAGTCACGCGTCATGACACTAGGCGAGGGAATATTTTAAATCACTTACACCCAAAATTAGAGATAGTCAAGCACAGTGTAAGCTACCAAGCGGTTAGACTCTTCAACAAATTGCCAAATAATTTAAAGAAAATAAATAATGTTAATATATTTAAAAAAGGATTGAGGGCTTACCTGCTGGATAATAGTTTTTATAGTGTGGAGGATTTTTGTAAAATGGTCTAACTTTAATTTGACATATTTTATTAATTTATTGTTGTGACATTATTGAAATTAATTTGAATTTAATGTGAACTAGATTTAACTAAAAAAAACAAAATGTGACATGTATAAGATAATATTTTTGATTGTTTTTTTTTTATTTGCAAGTATAATATTGCTATTAATTATTGACATGGTTAATTTTGACATTGGGATAGATTCTGATTAATTGTAATTTTGCATGCTTATTTATTATGCTTATTTTATTTTATTATTGTACCTATTTCCAACACAATGTAATATTGTTTTTAAATGGAATAAACTTATGAACTTATGAACTTAAAGAAAACAAGATTTACGGAAAATTTGAAAATACAAACACAAAAACTGAAAATTTAGGTGGACGTTGGATACTGTTTTGTGAGCCTGGATCTGAGTTTATCAAAAAAACCCCCTAACAATGGCATTAATTTTACATTTTGGATAATATTTTTCATTCGCATGAATCTATTTTTGGGCTAGTTTCATTTTCGAGTAGGTAAACAAGGACATAGTAATTTAAACATTGTATTATCATATTGCATTTGGCGTTCACCCAACGTGGGACGCCGCGTGCTGGTAAGTACCAAACAAACCTAACAGTTGTCATCTGGCATAAACTATAATGCTTCTTTAAATGTACAGACGAAGAAAAAATCAGACTTAACCTTTATCGTAACTATCAGTATGGTATCTTAAGCCGTACTGATAGGTACGAAATTGCAATAAAAAGGATTATAGTCTACCAATGGGTCGTTGACTGTCCTATTTAATATGTAAAAATACTTAATCTATACTTATAATAAATCTGTAGAGAGGTCAATTCTGTACATGAAATATACATATTTTCAAAATAACTATCAGGGGGTGATTAGTGATCGATACTGATGCCAAAAATGCAATCAGTAAAATTTTTGTCTGTCTCTCTGTCTGTATGTTCCTTATAGAAACAAAAACTACTTGACGGATTTTAACGAAACTTGGTACAATTATTCTTCATACTCCTGGGCAGGTTATAGTATACTTAGGAATTCCCACGGGAACAGGAATTAGCGGGAAAATCCTTTTGTATGAAAAATCTAAACCGCTTAAGTTAGACGCTTGAAATTTGGCATGCAGGTACCTTAGTAAACTTAAAGCTTAGTTACAACAGGATGTTGCAAAATTCCTACGGGAACAGGAGTTAGCGGGAAAAAACATTTGTATGAAAAATTTTAAACCGCGTAAGATAGATGAAGGAGGTAAAACGGGATCCACGCGTACGAAGTCACGGGCGGCCGCTAGTTATCTAATAAAAATATGTGATAATAAAATATTTTAGACATAAATTAGTTTTCTCCACACATTTTCAGGCAATGTTAATTCGTTTAATTAAAGAATGTACAGAAAACTATAAGGATTGCAATAAGTTTCTGAGGTCTAAATTATTATAAGTGCACTTACATACCTACATAATTCAGTACGATTAACCCTATTAACCCAATCAGTTATTTCAATTGAAATAAATTATTGATAAAGCTCATAGTGGTTGTCAAGGAAAGCCTTGGGGAAGGCCTTTGTTCAGAAGTGGACGTCATTCATTTGGCTGAAACCAACGAACGAACGAAGCTCTAAGAGACACCAGAGCCTCCCATGCAATAACTCTAACCAACATCAATACTTAGTTACCATAAAACTGTTAATCAAATACCAAACCAAATAGTAATTCTAAGCAATAAAATACAAGCCACCAAAAA